GTATACAACTTATTGGTGCGCATGCACCCGAGCGCTGCTAGTAAATGCTTTATGTAATTATCCACATCTGACCTTCCTTGTTCCGCACGACTATGGTAAAAATGTCGTCAAAACAGCTTTGTGCATATCCTTGGTGAGGTCGGAACAACTGCGTTACGAGACGATTAGACGTTGCAGAGGAGTTAGGTAGCGTTAAAGAATCATTAGCCACTCCCAAAGCATGCCCCTCGGCGTACTCACCGCTGTGAGCGGAATATCACTCGCTCGCGTGAGCATTTGGTATCATTAATGAACCAAGTCAAGTGCACTGAACATGGTACATCCTACCATAGCGTTTTAAAGAGCATCCTTTCTTGAAATAGGTGTCTGTGCTGGTATAGTGTCTGCGTTAAGCTTATTATATGCATGTACAATATACCACTTACCATCGGGATTTCTGACACAAAAAGTCGGTGTCGAGTGCGGAGAATTGCTCTCACGCACCATGCCAGCCGCGTGCTATGCACTAAGGAAATCTATAATGACGTCACACTGTTCCTTAGGCAACGGCCATTGCCTTGTAGCACACTATTTAGTTCCAGGGACTAGGCCAATATCACGACGCACAACTCTGTCGGGAGGTAGTGTAGATGATATATAATTTAAACCACATCCTAATATCCCCTAATCAGGGAGTAGAAGGGATCCGGAGGATTTTCAAGATCGCAGATCAACCGCGAGCACTGAGTGCAACTTTGATTTTCTCAAGGACTGTCTTATCTAAAAGGGGCGAAGAGGATAACTAAATGTCAGGTCTAAGAAACACCATATCAAACAAAGCACCGACCCTCAAGGCCCTATGCAATTCATTTACTGACATTTCTTCTAGCTTTATAGGGCGTTAAGCGATGGGGGAGTCTTGAGGTCAACTTCTCCGTCAATATCGCCCATCCCCCATTAGCCAATGTGTACAACTGCTAAATGTTTTCCTTCTGGAACATGGCAGATGACTTTCGTTTTGCAGCAGCTATCTGGCGTCGGTGCCGTCTCTGCACCTAGGATAAAAACTTCAACGTGTTAATAACATCCAATTACACGAGGTGAAGATCATCTTTAACCTCAAGATGTTCTGTCTGAGAGCCAATGTCAATAACGACATTAAGGGTGGTGCTATCGCGGCCGACCACACTCTGTGTACTACTTTTCACAATATCTGCATCAAGTAAGCATGGCTCTTGATGCCTTAACGTATCGTCAACAAAGTCATTACCGCCATTCAGTGTGGTGACAACACGGACGACCTCACTAAGTGGATTATCCCCCACTACACTCGCATCAGATGAGCATGGCTATCGATGCCTTGGTGAATCGCTAACAATGTCATTACCGACATTCATTGGGTTGTCATCGTGGCTGACCTCACTCAGTGGAGTACGTGCGACTGAACATGCATCACAGGGATCACACCTATGATTACTCGGCTCTAGGCCACAATGCTACAAGTATTTAGTGATCTACTATTACCAGTGTCACTCAACAGAGTGCGTGCCGTTTCAATATTGTTAATGAGATCAGAGTTAATTAGCTCAGACACTCCAATGTCCAGTACATTAACAGACTCAGTTAGTGGCTCGCGCCAATAGCGTTTTTGTTGCCTAGCACAAGTGAGTTCATGACTCTTCAAATCTTCGCTAGAAACATTGCGTGTTTCGCCCAAGGTTTTTGACCTTCAATCGATCCATGGTTCATGGCATACTAGCCAATCTATCCCAAAAATGAGATCATATCTCTAGTCCAAATCAAGGACAAGACAACGTTCGATACTACCAAAGTCTTAAAACTTTGCGCCTACGTTCAATGACATTTTAGGTACGGTAACTTGGATCCCTGTCGCCAAGCGAAAAGTGATACTTTTCGCTTGGCGACAGGTATCCACATCACACTCATGCACTTTGAGCGCCTCAGCATAATGTTGACATCCCTCAATGGATCGGCGCCGAACATTGTTGCCCGGCGCCCAGAGTCAATCAACAATTACCACGGCTCATCAAAGCCCTCACTCTTAGCCGAGGCAACAAGCCTAACTTAACCTCACGCTTCGTGGCGACCTTCACGAGTCAGTCTATCGCTAATCCCTGTCCATCTCTACAACCCAGAGATTTGGTAGAGCCTAATTCTTCCCCAGTAGGGTGGACCGCGCCTACTAAGAGTTACCGTTTTCCCGCTCCGTACCCATCTTCAAGCTAGGAAGCGGATTGCGGCTCCGCCGACTTTGGCGCAGTTTCCATAGCGGACACCGTGGACACAAGTGTATGGTGCTCCCGCTCGTGTAACAATACGGATGTTACGCTGCTGTTTAACAGCTTAAAGCTCGACTTCTTCTTCCACAGCATGGCTGAGGTCCATGGGCTCAGCTCCGTCATACGATCTATAGGCTTGTCCATGAGTGCCATAGCGAGCGGCTTTATAGTGAGCTCAGCGTTTAAAGCTATGTCCACCGCATCTTCGAACACTAAGAGGCGGTCGCGGAACACTTTCGTCCTCACGACCCCAGTACGAAAACTTCCATTAAAACTTTGAAACGGACTTCTTATGGAAGAGGGCTTAGCTGCATGTCAGCTATCAGAATCCGCAACTCCCGAAAAAGTCCAAAAATTGCATTCCCTGCGTGGCGGCAAGAAACCGGGAGCGTACACGGTACGCTTAATTTGGTGGTCCGAACACCCGATACATCTCTCGTTTAAGCGAATACCATGTGGGGAACGCAGTGTCAAACGACGTATCACACGTCAAAGTCCATTCTCTGGTTCTATCATCTAGTTTCGAAATGGCTGAGCTAACTATCTGTTGCTCAAAGTGGAGCACCGCGACACTAATAGCCATATCGACTTTTCGGATCCAGAGAAGGAGACCCCCTCGTTTTCGTCAAAAGAATTGAAGCTAAGAGTGAGCGGACGAGCCTTTGGCTCACGATCAGTTACTGGAATGTACCGTGTAGGTATCGCTGAGGATAAATGGTCAAGGACCTGCCCGATCAGCGTGTGTATTGAGCATTTCTGGGCCTTGGGCACAATGTGGCCGACCTGCTCGGCCTCAATCAACGTGGCAATGTGGTAATTTATTCGACCTGCTCGACCCCAATCAACACTTTAAACTTACCGAGCGCGAGACGGTAGGCCTCGGAGAAGTAGTTAAGACTCTCCGTCTTCTTACAAAGGATCATTTTAAAACGACTCAGGTATAGTTTTGGCTACAAGTGCAGCCAAGTGTAGCGGAGCTACTACAGCTCTAAAGCCAGAGGAAGATTATGGGCTGAGCCAGAGGTTCACGGCTATCGGCCAATTAATTCTAAGGAACAAACTTTTCAATTTAAAGTGTCGGATAGTTCTACGAAACTTAGCGCGGACTCTATGAGCTATTAGCTCAGACTACTGTAGTTCTAAGGAACTACACGCACAATGTGCAAAAGGGGAATACCGGAGTATAAAGACTCTCTAACTCACGACAGTTCTAAGGAACTGTGGAACACAAGGTGCGAAAGGGGGAAGTCTGCGGACTTCTGCCCAAAATGAGAACTGAGTTTCTTTAGATTTTATATCAAGTAAAATCCTAGTTCAAATACCCTATGTTCTACTAAAATAGAACAAATACAAATATTAGTATTCGAACTGATTGGATAGTTGGCACATCACTCAGTCATCAAATGATGACGGTACAAAGTACTTCCACGGTGATTGCCGTAACTCAGAGAATACCGACGAATCGGTATTCTCTATCGATATAGAATATGAGGCCACACCTGTCTCCCATATTACATATGGGATGTCTGCAACCGGTTTTGATGATGGCTAGTGTGACCCCGTTACACCTATTGGAAGCGTCGATCACTATCTAGCCTTCCTCTGCACGTACGGTGTGCGTGAAGTGACGCGCAGCAGTACCTACGCTGTTTTCAGTGTAGGTGTACTAGTATTTAAGCAGTGCTAGTGACCAGTGTCCCGTTGCAGCCCCCACCTCGTCATCGGGAGCAAATAGAGCAGATCGTAGCCTATGGAAGTCGACCGCAATGTAGGTGGCTCTAACCGAGTCGAGCAAGAATATTGGGATCAATTGTACAGGAATTGATTACACTCACTTTCCATGTGGTAGCAACTAGTGAACTACCCGAAGAGTGACGCATAAAATGCATATCCATTGACCTATGAGGAGGGAACAGGCTGCATTGCACTTGGTGCGACGTGTAAGGTGCTCCTAGCGTGATACACATCTACACAAAAAACAATAGAACCTTGGTTTTATATGGTCGGTATTAATTATGCGTACAGTCTCAAATAGCTTTACCCTTCTGGCTCAGAACTAGAGGGGGAGCTCCAAAGCTTGCTACCTAATCTTTACCCTATAAGACATGTTTCGGTTTACATCCTAAAGTCGGCACATGATGTAAGGATGTGTGGCTACTGTAAAAGGCTCTAGCATTGACGGCCAAATGAGATTGTAACGCAGCGGTGGTCGTGTTCGTAAAAGACAAGGCAGTCTATTTCGACGGACTACGAGTCAAAACGGAAGTGTAGTAAAGTATAAATCCGAGTGAATTTGTCTGTACCATGATGCCGGTTTAGACATACACACTTCCGTGTCAGTTTGCAAACTTGAGACAGCTCTTGTGACGACAACTAGCATTATTTTTGCCTTGCTAACGGATTCGAGGTACGTCGACGGTCTTGTTAGACCTCATAGACCTCGCACGAGAGGGTACACTCGGTGAATGAAAAAGATTTACGCAAAACTTCCATCTAGTGTGCTGTCACTTGCAGTTTCATTCACTCTTCTTTGCATGGCTTCAACATCGCAACCGTCCGGATTATCTCACTGCTCGCACGAATACCATACGCTTACAATCGCATTCCACTCGTTCGGGCACTTGACCAAAGTTAGTGACTGGACGCGATGCAATCACTGCACTGTATTGTCGTTGTCATCAGTTCGCGCATTCTGCACAATACAGTCGCAAACGAAGCAGTTCAATTGCCAGCTGTACTGCCCCGACGGAAGCTGAATGACTTCATCGACAACCGGGATGATGAACGCGGTGACGACGACTGCATACTAGCAGTTGACATGCTTTCCCTTGAGGCGCTCTTCACACGATGATTGTACACGCACGTGTCCTGGTCCACAAGGATACCCCACTGGAGGTACTCGGCGTTCGTGGCAGCCTCAAGGAACTGGTTCCGCTTCGCCACACGGTCCGAAATAATCTTTTCGGAAAAGTTGCCAAACAGCTGCTTGTTTGGCAGCTCCGGTATCTCCTTGCGTTTGTATCCATTCTCAGTCCGGAGAGTAGCAGCCAGGTTACGGAACGTGCTGTACCAGTGCCACACATACAATGTGCCACGCGTGTTGGTCTCGATTTGCAGCTTGTACTCGACAAACTGGCGACCTTCACGGTAAGAAAATCGGCTGTCGACCACCTTGGCAGAAATAAGTGACACCTCTTGAGACCGCACTAGCTTTGTCTGGAGCTGCAATACCCGCTGCTGCTTCAGCCGCTCGTTCTCACGCAGCAATTCAACGTCAGCATATTCAGCCACGATGGACGACAAAGTCGAGCGTTCGCGATCGTTCTGCGCAACCAGCACACAATCTAACTCCAGGGCAGCCTCAGCGGCCAATTTGGCGTCACGAGCTGCAGATTCTGCCTCGGCAACCTTCGAAGCCGCTTCCGTAGGGGCGCGAAGCGTACGCGGTGACACAGGACCCGCCGATATTTCCTCTATACCCTCCTCATCCTCCTTATCGCTTTCATCACTCCAATCATCTTCCACTGGCTCCTGTCACACACAACTTCCTTAGTGATGCTAAGCGGGAACCAACATGTCGAATAAATATCAAGCTTACCGGCTGAAGATCGCTGTGATCACGTTCTCCCACCTCCTTCTGAAGCACGCACTCTTCAATCTCCTTCTGGAGAATGCGCTCCGCCACCTCTTGCTGGGCAATCTTGCGAAGACGTTCTCGATCAAGCTCGCGCTCCTTTCGAACACGATTGAGGAGCAATCCAAACAGGTAACGCTGCTTGCGGCCATGCTCGAGAGACTGCGGCTTAATCATTCCAGTGCGCAGAGTACGGTAACGTCTCGCCTGGAAGCTACCGCGCGTCCTAGACTGGATCTCAACTGCAGCATCACGCTGGCGCAAGAAGCGCTTGCGATACACGTAGCCATGCAATACTTCTGAACGAGAATCGCATAGTCCTGCAGGATCACGTTGCGACGGTCCTCCAATCGCTGCAACAGACCCGAGCTAAAGTAGACCTTCGTCGAGCCCACAGCAAATTTGGCGTTTAGCATGCTAGTAGCAATGTCGGGCACCAACTCCTTCAACAGACCGGCCACCCTTTACGAAGGTTCCGCGTCACGCAGTGCTGACGGGCAAATAATCTGGAAACGCTGCTGGAACTCGACAAGTGGCAAACGATTCGGAAAGGCAGCACGACTGATGCGAATGGCAGCGATCACGCCAGCGCAGCGCAGTTGCTCCACAATCATGAGGCGATCGAACTCAGCTGCACTCTTGTTCGCGGTCGGCTTGATGCTGCGCACATACCGCGATGAGGTCTTGTTCATGCTCAGCATCAGTTCTGACAGTTGCTTACGGAACGCACCAGCGATAATGTTACCCGCCAGACTACCCTTTTGGCGGCCTGCTCTTCCGTTCTTGCCGCGGCTGCTGCGCTTGCTCGCCTGTGTGGGCGTGGAGATACCTGAAATGACTTTGTTGTGGCTACCAGACAACAGCTGCACCATATCCGTAGGCAGTGTGTCCTTGTTCTTCTCTAAAAAGCCCGCACCGTAGTACGTCACATTTCCAGCATAATGGTAGATGATGGACTCTAGCGGATTGATCCGGTTCTTCTCAATGCTCAAGTGGTCGCTGCAAGCATCTAGAACCTTACTCACAAGAGTACTGTCGGTAGCCTGAGGGCGGAGCACTTCCTCCTTCAGCTGCTGACGATACCCATTCGACCCTCAATCAGGTCCAAGATCGGCTGATTGTCCTCAAATGTCACCAGCGTCAACGGAATGCCTTCATCCACGTACTCTTGCTGCATATCCTTAAACACGTCCCTGTTGAACTTCTACTGCAGCTTCTCGTTGGCATAGTTGATGCACAGCTGTTCGAACCCATTCTGGTCAAAGCTCTCGAAACCAAAGATATCCAGCATATCAGTGTGCGTCTGGACGTTTTTCGTGGAGCAAATAGCCTTGTTGTTACGGTCCACGAGCCAGTCGAAGAGCTGCGTATACATACCCTTTGCCAAAGCGTCACGGAGATCCGACGCCTGTTCGGCGTTCAGCGGAATCGTGTACGACTCGGAACCAGCTGTAATAGATCGTCTCAGTAACGTCGAGTGGAGCGCTGCGCTCTTGGTACACAGCAACGCACCGACATTGTCCACGATCTCTTTGTTGCGCACGTGACTCTTTTCGCTGTCACTTGCGTTCGGCACAAACTCAACTTCGCCCAGGTTCAAATTCGCTGCCACAATCTCAAAGATTGCATTCTGCTCGTCCGTGGAAATGCCAATCGTATCGGGAACATCCTGTGTCTCTCCCAAACACTGGACATCATCAATGCCCGTCAATTGAGCAGTCGCCCTTTCAGCCACGTACTTGCAGTTCGTGGCGTCACCATGTAGCCTGAGCTCTTTCTTCCGCTCGTCAGACAAGCGAAAGACCTGGTAAAACGCGTGGTGATTACGTCCGCCTTCCGTCTGACCCACGACACGACTCCTTTCCAGCAAATACGTCTCATCCAGACATCCGACAAGAGACTTATCGTGTCGAATTGCAGCTGCGCAAACTCGCCAAAGCGACTCGAGTTGTCATTCCGCTTGGCCTTGGCATTCCCAAACGACTCGAGCAGGGGATTTGACTACAAATGCCAGTGAACAGAACAGTAGCTGACAATGACGAGCATTCAACAAACTTCTTACGTACTTGGTCGTTCTATGCTTGTCGCTGCCACGTATACGACGCGCGGAGAACCCCGATCGAACCCGACTCGATGTGTGATCTGCAGATGCTACGCCTACTCTGCCAACAAAGTCATAAGCCGCCAAATAAAAAAACAAGGATATTATCAGATGAAAAGAAAAGCTGGCTACACTCAACGTGGGTGTCGTGTCACCATGCTAAGAGATCGCACCCTTTCCAGCATCTGCAGACGCTCGGTCAAGCTGCAAACGAATCCCGCTTGCGAAACATAGCTACCATTCGACCACCTTGAAAGCTGATGAGCTGCACACGATCATGCTGCATCCAGACTAAATCATAGCTGCCCCGTTGAGATTCACTTTCTGCCAAGATTCCAGCCACCTAGCACATTCCCTGACAGCTTTATGATCATGAAAGTCTCTGCTTTCCGCGGCTTCAAGAACATCTGCAAATCGGCGTACGTCGTTTCCAAAATGCTTAAACAAGGCTTTGTACACGACGTCGGGGGAGCTGGCTGAACCAGCAGCGCTCAAGAGTTTGAAGACAACAGGATTAAAGAATTGATGGTCTGGAAAATGCGAATCAACTCCGAGAATCCATTTGATCATCGTTTCCAGTGTGCAGTCCCCCGCTTCCCAACGCGCAATCATTGCGCTTTGTACTCTCCCCACGCCCATTCCTTCGACAGACTCACGAGCGAAAGAATGGGTGATAAGCGCCCGAACCATTGCCTCATCGCCATAGGTGCCCGCTAGGACATTGGCTAGCGCTACTTCGGGTGTGTCTCCTTTGCCTTCTTTCATGTACAACGTAGCCAAGCCATCCGCTTGCTCTGCTGTCATCAGACGTATCAAAAAATCAGCACTGTAATTAGGGTCTTCCTTCGTCACTGCTTGTCTTCGAATTTGTTTAGCCAACGCCTTGACTTCCCAACGCAACCGAAGATTCGTCACAAGTTGCGCGAAGCGTTCAGCCCATGACTTGACTTTCGGTGCCATCGGCTCGACTACCAGCATCAGGTCTTCTCCCACAGGCGACCTGGCTTCGTGATTGGTAGCTTCAGCCGCCATCAGCGACCGTTCGAAATGGACGCCGTCTTGATGCTTAGCGGCGTCGTGAACGCTGCCCAGGGGAATGGCCGATTCGGCCGGTTCCGACGCAGTAATGGTCACACCAGCAAGAGCGGCACAAAGGGCGAGGGCGAAGTAGTAGACCCGCATGAGGCTGTGGATTTCAGTGGTGGTGGCTTGGTGTGGATGATGTTCCAGGTGTCAAGCTAAACAGGGAATGAACAGTCGGGAGCTGGTAAGCCGCACCACAGTTGTCGAACTATTGTGTGGCCAGCAGTGCTCGCTGTCGGCTTTGTGCTCTCATTGGACAGTTGTGCTCTGATTTGCAGTTCGTTGCGTGCTATCAAAGCGACTGCAACGTCATGCCCTTCTAATGACGAACATCTGGTCTCTCGTCACTTGACCACCAAGAGCCGTTGGCTCCAAATCTCATGATCATTTGTTGGAATCACACCTGTCGCTTGAAGTGCAAGTTTTTGTCAAAAATACTCAAATTTCGCTGTCGTCTGGGCTACGCAGAGGCGACGAAACGACTCGCGGACTGCGATGCAATTTGGTGCAAATGTTCGTCGAACGTGCCAAGAGCCAAAGTAGATGTATGTATACGGTCACCGAGCAATATCAAAGGCAGGCATATCGCATTGTAGGTGCTTGCAGTGTCACCTAGTCCCGGCCACGAGATGCAAGCAAGAATATAGTGTGATCTGTCTCGGCGACGACCTTCCAGATAAGAATGCTAGCTGAGAAATGCGCCATAGCCTTGCCGATCGTCATGCAAAGAACCACACGGTGCATACATTCACTGATTTCGAAAACACGAGTTCGGCGACAGTCTTCGACATTCGATACGGGTGTTCTGCCATAGCGGTTTGACTCAATAGATGTTAATGGAGATCGCTCGAGCTGATTGTCGACCCATTTACAGCGCTCCCTTCGATAACGTTTCCCCCGATAACTATAACCGCCGCTAATTTATATGATTAGACGTCCACAGGGGTCGTTCAATGGTTGTTCTACTAAATAGTTGCTAACTTAAGATCGGGAGCAAGATCTGGAGATCGCCCTTTGATATAGGTAGTCCAGTCCAGAGAACCAAATCAAGTTGCAAAACGCTTACGACAGCAGCAGTCACTGCAGAAAGAGCGTGATGCTGTTAATGTCTAAATTAACCCTGAATATACTCATGCAATGCGACATCCTTTGCTTATAAGCGTCCAGTGTGTGCTTGCATGATAATATTCACCTTTGGTCGATTTTAACCCAATCACGTGCGTATGTCACGGTAGTGACCTAGCCAAAGACTGGCTTTATATGTACCTATACACTTAAAAGAAGGGTGCAGATGAGATCGCACTAAGTACCAATAAGAAGGGTGCAGGTTAGATCGCACTAAGTACCGGTAAGGTGCATCTAACCGCGTAATTTACCGACACGCAGACAGGTGAGTACGTGTAAAAGTTTGGCATTCAGCTTGCGCACAGTCACAAATAGCTTCAGCCTTCGGGCTCGCAATCACATAAGCAAATGCTGATCACATTGCCTCGTATCCTGTACTAAAGTTTACAAACGTTAACAGCACCAAACTCATTCTTCAGTGACTGCTGCTGTAAAGTGGTTTGCAACTTATTCTAGTTCTATAAACTAGATTAATATTGCGAGCGTGAAGGGGCACCTATCAGCGAGTGTGCGCAAGGTTGATTGCCGAGCATATTAATTTGCACTTATCGATGTTGCGTATCTACCTTCTGTTACATTTTAATTCTTACTTATTCGTGTTGCGTGTCTGTAACATATTAATTCGTACTTATCTGTGTTGCATGCCGAACATGTTAATTCATATTTTAACAGCTGCTGAACAAAGCAATTTTTGTCAATGGGATTTTCGACGCAAGAGAGCTGTTATACTGAAAACAGGATCTTGTGATACACGCGTGTCAATTTCTTGAATAAGAAGTTGGTCCTTTTGAATAACATGAATAAAGCCGACGATCACGCAGAAGCGGCTGTGTCAAACGATCACGTGGGACCGACGGCCGCAGAATTGTAAGGAGAATATCACAATCAATAGCCCCGGTATGGCTCAGCCGAGTTTGAAGCAGAGTCAGGGGAATCAATCAGCATTTAGCGGATGTATAAATACCACAAAGTGGCTGCTTTTATGTGCAATATTAGAAAAAAAAGATGGCTTACGTGGTCGTGGGGAAGGAGATCGCCAATCGACCGCGATCATCACTTGTACGCTTTAAGGAGATGCGAATTCGGCTATTTGAGGACGAAGATAATCTAATTTCGATGCTGCCACGGCACGATTGCAGTAGGAACGTCGTAATCAGGTTTGCACAGCAATCTATTTTAGTAATAGGATCACATTTGCAAGGGATCACGAGTCTTTACCCCTGACATTCAAATAAAACTGGTCGGATCGCATCACTATAGAATCGTAGTGTACTATTGTGGAGAGGGAGATACTGATAACTCAGGAAAAAACGAGCTGGGTGGCAACTTGTGGTGGATACAGTGCCAGGTTGTATTTTTGTACCCCGCAATTTGGGTGACTGCAATTGCAGAACTGAAAGAGTTTGATGTGAAAGAAAAAGTCGGAGATCAATCCAGAAGCTGGTCCTTCATGGCCAAGTCTACATTAGTACTTGATCAAGCTCCCGATGCTGAGAAATGCCTTGTGTTTGGCGCCATACTTACCGAATCTAGCACACAGCTGGCATAGTCAGCTCAGCCTATCGCAACACTACTCGTGGAAGCAATTGTTGAAGAAAGTCATGATGTCATATTGTATCAGTGCACAAATGATCGCTAATCGGCTTGTGTCACAAAAAACTAAAACTTTTTGTCATGTTCTACACTTGCTGGTATGGGAAACTTCATCAAGGTCTACTCGTGGCCTTAAATTATTGCTTGCAGTAAGCACACCAATCTCACTCCTCGTTCTTTTTCAGAATGCGAGGAAGGTAGAAGGTCATCTCTGCTTAGTTGTGGAAGCGCTTCTCCAACTTTACGCTTAAGGCTACATTCTTTTAAACTCGTTTTTATCGACAGGCACCCCCAGCCAGTGGTTTTGTCTTTTCCAGGTTCGGTGCACGCCGCGTCTATCGATGATGCACCCAAAAAGTGGTATTTTGCTATTTGAACATATTAAACTCTTAAATTTGACGTACAACATTTTTTCGCATGATAGTAAAATCTCCCAAACGTGGATTCGGTAAAATTCAATGTCCGCCTCTTCGTCCATAGCCGATCTCTGACCGAATAAATTGTCCAAGTGACTAGGTACAAAGTATCACACCAAATTCAACAGATTTGTTGTACATGTGATGAATTCAGCAGGGGCATTGATCGAACGTTGCGGAATAGTTATCCACTTCTGGAGCATACCACTGGGAGTGATTTCTGTTGTTAACGAGATGTTCTTTTCACGCATCAGAAAGTGATGTAAGTCGTCCATCAGATGCATAGACGGAAAATTTATACTACCCGCCATTAAAATATAGATGACTTCTTTTCAGTATCGGGCCTGAGGCAGTTACGTTGCAGCATTTAACTTCTCAAATTCGAGTGCTACTCACATAAAAGGACGAAAAGCTGTGTGGGAAGATTAACTCCACATTTGGCTTGCTGCTAAGCGATAGGAGAAGAACTGTCAATCGCAATAATTATTCATGAAATAGTGGCCACTGCTTCATGGAATGTTAATTCGAGATAGTTTCATCTCGACCTCATGTCGAGCATCTCTATTCTGAGCCAACTAGTATGTTATGGATTTCGAAATACTGTGTTAATTTTGAACGAATCACCATACAAGTGATGTGCCTAAAGTGACTCCCAAGATTGAGAACTGTGACGTTCAATCCGATACTTCTCATCATCTGATTCTTCGTCCTTCAATTAGCTTCTGAGGTCCCCATCGTTCGATGCAAACTCTATCGCCAACAGAATATGATTGTCTACCGCAATGGGAAAGGAGGAAAATTTGCTTGGATTCGCTACCACGCAGAAATCGTAAGAACCGCTCAGGTTCTAGTGTGGAAATCGAGTCATTTCAAAAGTCCTTTCGCAGGCGCAAACAATTTAGTTTTACAAGCATTCACACTCGATCTTTCATTGTCCAGGACATAATATGTCTTGATTATGATAAGCGGACTCATTCCCACATGCTGCGGCTTGGGACTCATTCTATTAATACGTATTTACAAGAGCGTTTCTTTCTCAATCACGTGGGGTCTTGTACATTCAGCTTCTTTTCGCTAGGGTTGCGCTACCATAGCTTGGTTCCCTCTGTTCGTCGCGACAGTATATCAAAAATTTGTTTTGTTAAAGGCAACTAATCCTTCCTTGGATGTTGTTGCTAGGCATACATCCATGTCCCAGTCAGCTCAACTTATTCGAGTGGTAGAACTTTGTCGCTTCCTGTGTTAGTGCATAGTCGTCAGTGACTTGCTTTAACTTGTTATTAGTTTCACGTTGTGATATTGTGCCACGTCGTACTAACTGTCGAACCCCACGTAAGGCCATCGCACTAACTTGTAGTACACTGAGATGCTTGTTAATTATTATAAATGTTCATTTGATGTCCATCAAACGAAGATGTGGCAGGCTTATTGACTGGTAGACGCTTCCAGCTGACTTGTGACTCGTACCTTCCGATCCACGGTATACTAGGGATGAAATAATATTGTCATCAAGTCAGCTACGATAAATTTAGAGGCTGAAGAGGTAGACACCTTCTACTTACTACGTGGACATCCCAAGATGATGGATATTTTTTTCCTAACATACCAGTACCTTGGCTAAGTTGGATATAAGATATCATGCCTATAGTAATATGCGTTGTCTCTATTTATGACGCGAGCTTTCTTTAAATAAAAGATGTAATTGTTATCTTACAATGCCGTGTCTTTGCTTACCACGCGAACGCCCCCTAGAATAGGATATAAAAATTATCTAACAATGCCGGTGCCCACTAAAATTATCAACCAGTGAGGGCGCTAATCACAAGAAAATTATACAGAATGTAAAACCCTTTTACATTCCTCTCTTCACCACAACTCACTTCACTTGTATGAAGTTATTCTGATTTCGCCTTAATTTCGCATATCATCCTTCCAAATCTCATATTCTAGTTGTAGCCCAGAGAT